GAGAGAGAGAGAGAAAGGAAGAAGAAGAAGGAATGGTTTTAACTACAAGATAACAAAATTCGCGGCGATTAACTGCAATAACATGCGGCTTCCGTCGCATGCCTCCACCCCTGTTCGCATCTGAATATCAGCCTCGCTCGTTCTCTGCGCCAGGGATCGTCTGTTGCACTCGCTTGTTGCACCAATACATATATATATATATATATATATATGTATGTACGATCCCGCGATTTACCGAGCGTTGAAGTGCGCTCGTCTCAAAGCGAGCACGCGGAGAGAGCGAACGGGCGTGTTTGCGGTTCCATGGCGGACGTGGACCGAGATAACACGTTAAAATAGTACGCCAACAAACGATAACACGCATTTAGAATATCTGCCGCAGTGTCGTTCCTCGCCGCGATATTGAATCGCGCGCCTCTCTATATAATTGCAACGATTCAAACGGCTAACACCATTCTTCGTCCTCATCCTCGTCGCTGTCGTCGACACGTTTTAGATACCGAGGGATACGAAAAGGGAGAGTAAAAAAAAAAAGGAAAGGAAAAAAAAAAAAAAAAAGAACCGTACGTCTCTATCGGGTTGCCACGATAACGATGAACTACGAGTTCTCATTCTGTGTTTCGATTTCCAGCTTGTGTTTACACAGATTGATTGGAAAACCCTTTTTTAACGCTTTGCATTACGTTCTATCGTATTCGACATTATCGATATACGAATAAAGATCGTGATAAAGAATTTTTTTTGATATATATATGTCATTCGGTAAAAATTTTTCACGAATAACGATGAATCGTGCGAGGAATTTTCAAGCGATGCATATTTTTCTCGTGATATTCACCGGTTTAAGGGTTAAGGCTTACAACACTTCCTGAAGCTCAACAAGATTACTTATTTGTATTCCAAGATATTTGCGAATATGAAGTTTTCACGAGTGTGTTTACATGTGGTTTAAACACGAGAAAAATCGCATGATATACCAGAAAAAAATCGAGTATTTCGAAAGATGTTATAACGTTACATAATCGATCTTACCTAAGCAACATGGCAGAGTAACTTTAGGGAGAAGATCGTTGATGCTTGAACGCTATATTGCGAGCATGCTGCTGCCAATCGGTACTCTTCGCACTTTCAGCCTGAACTTCTGACAGCCACCTGGAAAAATATTAACGTGTTACATCACGTGATTCCTTACTCTTTTCGTGAGCTTTTCGTGAAACTGAAGAATGCGAAGAAAAGAATCGAGTGCGAACTTTGTGAAGTAAATTTTTCGATTTAAATTTAAATTCTTCCTTTTTATAAAATGAATAAACGATACATTTTTTTCTTCTTCCTTTTTTTCTTTTTTTTTTTTTTTGTAAGCGAACGACTCACACGAAGCTAAGTTACGAAAGAAATATATTTAACTATGTTACAAAACGAGGAAATTGAATAATTACGTTGCGTGTACTGAATAATCCACGGAAGGAGGATCGAGTGTACGATCAAGAAACTCGTCACAGACTGTCATAAGAACTGTGCTACTCAAGTAAGCGGAACACGCAACGAAGTTTACAGCCGATATGATAATTTCTTAATTATCGAATACCATTCTTAATTATCTCCACCATTCTCCAACGCCACGCAAACGTTACTCCTCGTTAAAAGTAGACGAATCCAATTCAGCTTCGTCCCTCCCTGTCTACGCACGATAAACAAATGGATCTCTCGCATAGGTATCCAAGAAAAAGCGAATTCCGATCGAATTCCTGGTCACGTACTTATCTCTAATACAGCTATATAAGAAGCAATATCGTTCGAGTAAGAGCATTAGCTATTCATCCATAACTTCGACCTACAAATTCCTCTAACTATTCCACGAATTGTCGATCAACAAAGCGCAAAAAGCACGTAGCCACGATCCGGAACTCTGCCTCGAACGTGTGGAACGCGCAATTCTGCTCGCGCGTTCTAGATGGAAAACACACACCTGCCTGGCACGTGTCACGTTCATTTAAGAACGGTCATGTTGACGAGTTGCTCGTAAATGTAATCACGTCAATTAAAGCAACACTCACGGATTTCTAATCGGCCGACCCATGCGTGCCGGATTATGTCACCTGTTGGCACGCGGACGATTTTAATCGATTGATTCACGCAAACGCGGCCACCTCGCGTCTCAGTTTTTTCATTCCATTTTTATCCCTCCACCTCTCCCTTTTTTCCTTCTTCCCACCCCCTCTTTCTCCCGCACGAGATATTTATGTAACACCGCGAATGAGGATCGTGTATTAATTACAGCCGGCAGCGGCCATGAGAAAAAGTTGCATTCGAATGCATCTTCGATTTACACGTGGATCAAACGGAGTGTTGCCTCGGATTCACGGAATTCACGGGTATCGTGATAACGTACTTCGTTTTCTTTGAAAAATAGGAAGTGGAGGATTAGATTAAATAACAAATAGATACCATACAATTGATGTAAATATCTTCTAATTATAGCTAAGGCAAAAGGAAAAACCTTAGATGCGAGTCTAAAAGTTATTCAGAAAATGATAAATCAAGATTCGATAGAGAGTATTCTTTTGAATCTCTGCCTACGTGTACGAATAATACGAATTCAAGCGAATTCAAGCGTTTCTTAGTATCAGAATGCTATTCTGCACGTTCCCAATTCACGAAATACAAAAATTGGAACGCGTGCTTCAAAGAAGAGATTCAAAGAAGCGGTCGAGGAGGGACTCTCCGAACCGAGCGCTTTGATCCCGAAAGAAATCGAATTTCAAGTCGCGACGAGGGGGAAACACCTACATGGGAAAGGATGTATAGAACGTAGATGATTTCGTTATTCTGGCACACGATGCGGTGCATCGAATAAGAAAGACGAGGCAGAGAGAGTCCAGATATAGACCTGCTGTAGGTAATAGTTCGGTAGGTGGTGGTGGTAGCGCGAGCAGTAGGACCGGTAGGTTTGGTTTACTTCAAGTTCGTTGCGGGCAGCCGGTTCGCCACTTTTCTTCTTCGTCTCTTTTTTTCCTCTCTTTCTTCGTTATATTTTTCTCTCCTTTTTTCCTCTCCTTCCTTTCTTCTGCCATTTCCTTCTCGTTCATGATCTCCTACCGACTTTATCGTCCGCCCTTTCCCTTTTCCTTTTCCTTTTGCTTTCCACCTGGCATTCCATTTTATTCCGCCTCTTTGTGAAGGTGTTTAAAATCAGTTCCTTGGATATCGTACACGCGATAATATCGACAAGCTGGCTTCCGTGAAATATTGGACGTGTTTCGCCGTTATTGGTAGCCTCTCTTTCTTCTTCGTTTCACGAACGCGGGATGGGACGAGGGAGGAAGAGACAGAGGGGTAGAGTCGCTCGTCAGGCGCAGAATGATGGGAACGGAAAGAAAATCTCGAAGAACCTCTTTGTAGATACCGACGACTTTGATAGAGGCGTGTCCACGTCGACAACCTACCATTAGGATGAATAAGCATATCTTTATGAGATCTGAACAAACCGCAAGTCCCTTCTCGTATTGATTACGTTCTTACCTCTTAAATAATCTATAAATGTTGTAAACTCTGTGTCCCGGGAAGAGATTAGAATTTGTCCGATTTACTGACAAGTGTCACCGACAATGTGACAAATAAAGTGCAAATCTGAATTTATAAGTTTTGTTGGCACATTCTTCTGATATTAAATAATACAAATTAAGTTAAGATTGCGTATGTTAATGCACTTTGAAGTGCATGAGACATTTCACCTTTGGAATGACAGACAATATTCAGGACTGTCAGGATGTCTCGACAGCTAGAATTAACTAGAAGCGTACGTTGCATAATGCGCAATAAAAATATACGCTATTATTACCTTAGTTAATTGCCGCATTATCGTACTACCTTGTAACATTAATTTCCATTTTTAGTACGCTCACTTTTGTTGCCCAATTATTACCAAACACCGTAATCATCAGCATTTCATTATCCCAGTAAAAAGTAAACTGGTTCCAAGGCATGTCTCAAAAATAGACGTGTGCGCATGCTCCTGCGCAAGTGCAGAAAAAGTGATCGCAGAAATCAAAGAATATGGAGACCGACACACGTTTCTGGTCGAGTATCAATTGTAACCGTGTTTCACCGGAGTAATAAGAAACTCTATCTGTTGGAATCTCCATTGCCGGGACAATATCCATTATTATATTACATCATTGCGTAATCGACGTTTACGGTTTTATGGGACTGGCCTCGCGCGCACACTGCCCGCGCGCGTCCAGCAAACTCGAGGAATCGGAATCGTTCGGTTAGTTCCGTGAACGTTCGGATTCCGCCGATCGCACTGGCAGACATGCTGGCAGCATCTGGATTTCCCGGTATTCGTGCAAGTTAAATGGTATATACGTGAAAGGGAAGAAAAGTATGTTTAACGCGCGTAGCCAATCATCACGGATTATCTCTGTCATGGTTATATTTTTATATTTCACTTTTTGTATCGTGATATTCGATGTACGGTAATTCAATTCTAAAAGTGACTTGATCTTTCTCTTTTTTAGGTTATATTTTATTTCAATGTATTCGATTACTTGCTATCTGAATTATTGTTACTAGATTTTAACGAAATTATTCGATGTTTTAATGGCCGTATTCATTTGTAAAAGTCGAAAAGATAGAAAAGATTCAAAATAACGAATTATCGAAATTTCTTTCGCAAGTTTCTTTCCAAGATTGATAGGAAAACCCCCGATGGGAAGGGAAGTATGGACACGGGGTTAAGCCCGTTTCGCATGGAACTGGTTCTAACGGAGTTTTATGTGGCTCGCGGTGGACCAGTTTTGCGGCCGTCAATGAAGTGCACTGTACACGAGTCGCGAGCGCACTTGAACGGTGAGGAGGGACGGTGCTGATGGTGCTGCTGCTGCTGCTGCTGCACGCAGCGCACATTGCCCAGTACTGAGAGAACCAGTCATTGGCCGATCGGCCAATCGCGTCACGGACCAAAAGAAGACGACCGCCGGTCGCTCGTTTCGAATGGTTCGCCATGAGTCGATTCGTGCGACGATCTATCTTCTCTCCTCTCTCACTCTCGTCATTCTTCCTCGTCTTTCCTTATCGTGTATGAACTACACACACACACACACACACATATCACATATACGTGTGCGATTCTCCGCTCTCTGTCTCCACTACTCCCTCTCCCCTTCTATCATTTCCCTCTTTCTTTCTCTTCTTTTTCTCCGATCATATGTCTCTGTTTCTTTCTCTCTCTCTCTCCTCTTCCTTCTCGCCGAGCTAACTTGCTTCTTTGTCTTTCTCAATCGTACATTGCATGATCGCTCTTCTCTTTCCATTGGTCTCTCCTCATTGCAAAGTGCCGTAATATTCTCCTGCCGGAGTTATTTTCGTCGCGCTCACCCAACCAGCTCTCCCGAGGCGGCATTGCACGGGTTGTTCTCTGCGCATTGTCTCGAGGCCCCTGCTGGAGTAACTGGATTTCCAGGCTAGCAAGGCGATCGCCGCCGATACCACCGATCTTTTCACTTTGCTTTTGTCTCTCTCCTCCGGTTCTTCCCCTCTAAGCTCAACATACACCTTCACGAGAAGTTTTCTTATCCAAATAATATCCCAATAATATCTTTCGTCCGTTACGATTATTCGAACAACAAATATTATCAAATTTGTAGAAAAATCGTTTAATTTTTTATAATCCAATTATTTCTATTTCAGTTTTAATTTCTGATTTTATCCCAAATAGACCACGAGCTGAGTAAACGATTAAAATTCACGATAAATCGGGAATCTCGTATTTTTATCAACGTTCCGAAAAACTAGGCTCGTTCGATCGGCGAAAAGAAACACTCGAGAGATCGAAGCAGTGGAGAGCAGGTCGGTAAACCACAGTACCGCTTTTAGACTCGTTAAATACATCTGCAGATCGTTAATCGGAGCCTGAATGAAAGGAACATCATGATCAACCGAGACAACCGTGCTCGTAATCTCTCGTGTACACACTCCGGCCCGTACACCGTTCTCGCCAGTGTGTGCCTGCCGCACGTGCACGTGTGAGTGGCACTCGTTACTTAATGCTTACTTATGTCGGCGCATTACTCGTTAGTCATTACTCAACCACCCTTGCCGTACACAGCAGCGCTTTTGATATTCCCCGGATCACGCAAGCCGCTGAACTGAAAATTAAAGAGACCGCGCGTCGTTATAACATTGAAAAGTAACCGTGCTCGCGAAGTAACCCAAGATATTTATTAACCACAGCAGCCCCCCATGAAATTTTAGCGTTACGTTTCCAACAATATCCAGGTATTATTTTGTCGGCTATTTTGCATGACGACTTAATTAGAGGGAGCACAAGCATCGAAGGAATTTTCACTCGGACAAAATTGCTAAACCGATGCAATTTTTCTTTCGTTTCTACGATAATCCTACGTATATACTTTGCATAAATCTCGTTGAAACAAATTTTTCTTCGGATATACAATTTTTCTTTTTCAATCCAGTTTGTACAAGGGAAACGACGCGTCGCGATCTCGAAATTACTCGTAGTGAATTTCGTTCGCGTACCTACGTTACGCACACAATCAGTATGAACGAAACATGCGAATATTAAGCGACTATACTGTTGCATAACTCTGTTACGAGTTCGGGTTTGATAACGATAAAATATTGTTATCACGAGGTGCATGGGACGATTTTTGTGATCGATACGTTTCGTGTCGTAAATGTGATAATTGGGCGATAGATAAATCGAGTAAGCGATTCCACTTCGAAAGAACATGAATCTTATCCATCGGATCGGATAAGGGTTATGAGAAAAATGTTCGTATGCCCGCAATAAACTCGCTACTTCGAAAGATTCGCAAAAACCGTGCAATCATGATTGCTTAGGTCATCCTACGTTTTATTAATTTCCCCTGAACAGGCTGGCACAGGTCAATCGCGCAATTTCAGTGCTAGCGCGAAGCATGTAGGGCTAATTACGGCCATTAAGCACGGCGAATACTTAGCTTAACTGATTAATTAGAAAGCACGTTTTTTTCCACGCTCGAATCATGTCCGTGAGCGCGTGCGCGCGGGCTCGAGTCACGTAAAACAAGATTTCAGACGAACGAGAGATATAGGATTAATTCCTTTGCGTTTTCACCGAGATACGAATAATCTATCTTAATTTTCCGCATTAACCGATCTTGATTTTAAGAAAATTCCATCTCTTCTTATTTTACCGCGTGAAGTTTTCAATTAAAAATTTTTCAAATGTAAATCTGCGATGGAACACAATATAGATACAAGTTTATAAAATGATACCGATGAAATTACTATTCCATAAATAAATAATGGTATTAAATTGTTCGCATTAATTACAATTAAATATATTAGAGATCTGCAATCGTCTTACTATCTCGTCTATCTATCTATCTATCGAGAGAGAGAGAGAGAGAGAGAGAGAGGTAGGAAGAAGAAAGAAACGAAGAAGTGTAGTCGGTT